TGAGGCTCACAGAGAGGTGGTGGAGATTGGAGAGTTTAACTAACGATCTGTTGGGCGTGTGCTTGTAGGCCCGCTCAAAATAACAAACAAAATGACACACAATACGAAACTTAAGATGGAATGGAAAAAGCTACACAAAATGACATACAATAATTGTTACGAAGCTCTTTTTTCTTTTTTTTTGGTCAATGGCACTTGCAAAGTGGCAGTGGTATTCTACAACTTTGTATGTAGAAACTAGAAAGCATCTTGTTGTAATTTAGGATATTGTCATATTTTTTATGTACAAAATCAGGTAACCTCTTTTTATATAATTCTTATCTATTCATTTGTTTCAAATTCAAATTTGAAACCTCCAACTTAAAATAGAAAATTTTAACTATATGAAACTAAGATGTCCTGTTAGAGTTTGTAATGATGACATTCAAATCATTTGAAGACTGAAATAAGTTAAAGGACCCAAATGGGACCAAACCACCAAGATGAGGGACCTCATAGGACAATAGATGCGTGTTTGATACAGCTGGTGGAAAGTCCTTTAGACTCCAAAAGCTTCAACTTCATCAAACACTATAATTTGTGAAAAATACTATAACTTCTCACAAGTTAGTTTTTTATCCATTTCATTGCAAATCTCAGAAGCACTGAATTGGTAATTTTGCAAAAACTTTTCATTTGAGTTTTAATGAAATTAATATGTTATTCTTATTTTATTCTTATTTTTCTTTTTATTTACAAAACATCACTTCTACAATAATTTTTTTTAACAGAACTTCTATTAAAAACTCTAATCAAACCAAATAGGCGTTAAATAAAACCAGTTTAAGCATGTTGGACCGGAGACATTAAAAATGAAAATGGACAGCTTCAGGCCCACGGCCCACCTTCGATAATATTTTTTAACCGCCTCAGGGATCATTTAGGAAATTCATGCATCTCAACTCAGTCCAGTCCAGTACGAGTCCATCCCGGTTGCCAAACGCCACTACCACCCTCTCCATTTCGTCGCCGTGGCGAACTCTCTCTTCCTAAAATCTCCGATCGGTTCTTCACGGAGCTCGGATTACAGCTATGAGATCCAAATCAAGCTTGTTGTTTCTGCTGCAGTGGTGGATTCTGGCGGCGTTGATTCTACTTCTGCCTCAGTCCGAGTCTGCTCAGCAAGCGTTCCGGAGAGACCCTGGTCATCCTCACTGGCACCACAATGCCTTCCTCGACGTCCGTGACAGCGTCCGATCCGACGTTCGCCGCATGCTCCATACTCGCGCCGAGGTATTTGATTCTCTGCTATTGAACTTCATTTGATCACTTATAAAACGGAAATCAAAAGTTCGAATAATAGTGAGGATTCTGCTCCGTTTGAAGTTATTCATATTTTGTAGAAATCGGAAATTTGGTGCAATTGAGCGAGTTTTTCTTATTATGCTTAGAGGTGGAACTTTGCAGGTTCCATTCCAGGTTCCACTCGAAGTAAATGTTGTGCTTATTGGTCTCAATGGAGATGGCGGCTACAGGTATGCTGTGGATCCTCAGAAATTTGAGGGGTTTCTTAGAGATAGTTTTCCATCACATAGGCCTTCATGTCTGGAGACAGGGGAGCCTCTCGATATTGAGCATCACATTGTCTTTAACACGTTTCCTGTAAGCACTTACTATCCAAATTTATCGTCGTAATTTTCTCTGTTCTTTTATGCGCTTGAAGCTTGATTACTTTTGTGTTTCGTTTTTGTACTGGTGTTGTTTTATTTTTCTGTGAATGAAATGAGAAAACAAGAAATGCGGCAGTCCAGTTGCTATAGCAGCTAATTTTTAGTCTTAAACAAGAAGCTAGATCTCACTGAATTGCTAACATCAAGAAATTTGTTCTGAAGATTAATTTGTACATCCCATAAGCATGATTATTGCTTCATGCCTTGCCTCATAACTTGTGCTTGCACACATCTTTGTCTGTTTGCACACTTTTAGGGGTGTTGCTGTGCTCAAACCATATTGGACTATGTTCTTATTGGTCAGATTAGTTCTAGGAAAGTATGTCCAGCAAAGACAAATGGATGAATAATTGTATTGTGTTTGAAAACCGGTAGCAATCTATGCTGTGCACAATTTGTTTTGTCATGCAAGTGCTCATTTGATACTGCTTATTTGTAGTCCTTAGTCCAAATACTTGTTATTTACACTGTTGATTCTCACGTTCATCCTCAATGCAGGCTGGGCAGCCCGAACTGATAGCACTTGAGAAGGCACTGAAAGAGGCCATGATTTCTGCTGGAACTGCAAGAGAGGTGGGTGCGATTACATTTGCCTTCACTTTGAAATAATTAAGAGAGAATTAAGCATATTAATGATCTAAAAAATTTCTAATTTTTTTTTTTTTCACATTTTTTAGGCTGAGTTTGGGAGACAGGTGCCTTTATTTGAAGTGGAGGCAATGATTGTAGAGCCAATATTTCAAAAGCTGTATTCTTATATATTTGATATAGATAATGTGGGGTTTTCTGCACCAGAGATAGATAGACCTGCACCAAATGCAATCTTTATTGTCAACTTTGACAAGGTTCATTCTTCAATTTTCAAACTTATGTACTATTTACACTATAAGTTTATAAGCATTTGCTTGTACTTGTTCTTTGCATTTCATCTGCTTTATGACTCTTTGAGGTACTGGTGGAACCATGCTTCCCATCCTTCCCAGCAATTTGGGAGACTTATCAATGTTTCACTAATGTTACTTTTTCTTGTTTATGGTGGGTTTGGGGAATGGATCTGCTTCTTTTCAGGTCAGAATGGATCCTAGAAATAAGGATATAGATCTCGATAGTTTGATGTATGGCCAAATTAGCAGGCTGAGTGATGAAGATATGCAAAAACAGGAAGGGGACTATATTTATCATTATCGATACAATGGAGGAGGAGCATCTCAAGTTTGGTTGAGCTCTGGAAGGTATATTGGATTTATGATTTATTTGAAGGAATGTTCATTTTGAAACTTTTGTATGTTTTTATCAACCTCACACAGAATCTGTATTTTTCCTGTCTAGCTTGTCTGATAAGTAGCCTACTACCTTATCTGCTCTTATGTGAACTATTTATATTTCTCTACACAATGTTCAGATTTGTTGTGATCGACCTCTCAGCTGGCCCTTGCACTTATGGAAAGATTGAAACTGAAGAAGGAAGTGTCAGTCCTCGAACAGTGCCACGGATACGGAATGTGATGTTTCCACGGGGGTTTGGTTCTCTCCGTGATCATACTAGCCATGATAATTTCATGGGACATCTGGCTGCCTTGATAGCAACCACAGTTGAGCATGTTATTGCTCCAGATGTTAAGTAAGTTTAGGCTATTATATATGTAGTAATTACTACATTCTTTATATAACTTTTTGGCTGAATACAGTTTCTGCAAGACAAACATAAAAGTTTTTAAAACATCAAAGAAGGGCATATTTTAAATGTAAATCATGTGATTAAACCTCCGTATCTGATGGTGATACTGCATTGTGATTTTTCTTTTATGATTTTTTTTGTGATATAACTTTTTTTTTACCATTGGTGAAACCAGGTTTGAGACTGTTGATCTGACCACAAGATTGCTCATACCCATTATTGTCCTTCAAAACCATAACCGATACAATATCATGGACAAGGGTCATAATTACAGCATAGATGTTACAGCAATTGAAGCAGAGGTGAACTGCTTTCTCTAAACTAATATATCTGCATATATTGGCCCTTGATTGTTTTCTGTACTCTGGCTCACCAGAAGACATTAAACTACTAGTTAAGATGATGATTATGACACTAAAGTTAATGAGTTTTAAGATGTAAAATTGGCTGAATGAGATGGAGTTTTATTTTGTTCTTTTCAGGTGAAGAAGTTGGTTCATGAGGGCCAAGAATTAGTAATTGTTGGGGGGCCACATGCATTGCACCGTCATGAGAAGCTGGCTATTGCTGTATCAAAAGCCATGCGTGGCCATTCCCTGCAAGAGACAAAGAAAGATGGACGGTTCCATGTTCATACCAAGACATTTTTGGATGGTGCCATCCTTAAAGAAGTATGTTTATTCTTTTTTTCTGCTTCACATTTTTAACCTTTTTTTTTAAAAAAAAAGTTGGGTCGCACAATGGGAGGCAACTCTCTCCCATCCTTTTACCCACCCTTCCTGCATGCCTACAACTTGATCCTAGGACCTTTTACTTTCACTAGATGGAGATTACCTTTGGGCTGCTTAGTTCATTGGCTCTTTACCTTTCTAACCTACTCCCTCAATTCTTGAAGACTATTTATGTTCATTATATGATATAACTAACATTGTGATTTCTATGGTGTAAAATGGCCCGCCAAACTTTTTGCTTTAGTGCATCCTAAATTATCAATTGTTGAATTAATAGAAGGGTATATTATTATGTTGTATGCATGCAGGAGATGGAACGGTCTGCAGATGTGCTTGCTGCAGGCTTACTTGAAGTGGCTGACCCATCTCTTTCAAATAAATTTTTCCTTCGTCAGGTCAGTTAATGGTAACTTACTTTTTGCTTTTATGTTTATAAATTTTGGTATCAGTTTGTTCCATAGCTCAACTTATATAATGTGTGGTTTTGAGGTTAGAACCCAGTCTTGTCTCCCCCCTTTGTCCCTCCATTTCCTTTCTTCTCTTTCGAGCTTCCTCCATCCCTCTGTGGCTCTGTTGTCCTGAAATGAATTGTGTTCCACAGGACTGGATGAACTGGATGGATGAAGCTGATGGTTCAGGTGACTCCATTTTAAAGCATAAACCTCTTTGGGCTTTTCATGAATCAAAAGGAAACAAGGCAAGGAAAAAGGCAGCACAAAAGAAAAGGGGGGATTTGCACCGGACTTATGGAACAAGAGTTATTCCTGTGTGAGCACACCCCCTGATCTTGCATCTTCAATCATGGATTTGCTATGAAATAGCATAGATGATTATAGATTTGTAAATTATAGAGTATAAATTTGCATTTTTCTCCTTTCATTGGTCTGTGTAGATTACTTGTTTGATTGGTGTAAGCTAGAACCTATATTCTTCAAGATGTTGCCTACTGATAACTGTTTATCCACTCAGTTCTTATGGTATTCGTTTAAAGTAACAATATGCATCTTGATTCTAGACAATGCTTTAGATTTCATAAGCTGGTGTAAGAGCAATTTTTCTTTTGGCCAACAACATAGAGTTGTAAGAGCAATTTTAAAGACATAAATCATATTTCTTTCTGCAGCTTCGTGCTATCATTGGCTGATGTAGATCCCCACCTTATGATGGAGGATGAAAGCCTTGTATGGACAAGCAAAGATGTTGTCATTGTACTCCAGCATCAAAGTGAAAAAATACCTTTAAGGTGAGTGAAATAAATCTATTGGACAAGCTTTTCTGTCCTTTGTAAAAGTTTTTATAGAGGCTGCGCATAAATTGTTTTGCTGCTAAGGGTTTACTTTGTACAATGCCATATCTTCAGTTAAATACTAGATCCACCCTTCTATTTCTGTACCGGATGACTTCCTTTTCAGTGTTTAGTTAACTTGAAGATGTGGACCTTGTCATTGTGTTTCTTTCATCCCTTTCTAACACATTGAACTTTTGGAAGATCTCTCACTCAAAGCAGTAACCGTGTATTTGGTCTTCTTTTAACAAGATTTATAATATATGTGAACTTACTTTCAACTTGTTTCTGGTTTTTGGTGCTTCATATCAGAAAGCACGTTATGGTTATGTTTTTGTGTAAGTTTTGTTCCTCTTTTCTGGCTTTATTGGAGCCATAAAGATAGGTAATTCTCCTAAACAATTCTGTTTGTAGAACCTCTATTAGGGTATACATTGTTTTGGCTGAATATTGATCCTCTATGGATCTAACATCTGATAATTGCTACAAGTAGGGTTTCAGTTAGGCTTTCTTGTTAGTAATATGTTTTTATCTGATTGGCAAAGATCTGCATTCTTTTCTACTAACTAAATCTGTCCTGTTCTGTTTTACAGCAGCAACTTCTAGTGTATAAATATCAATATTGTTATGCTATGTAATTTTGGGTTCACTGGTCAACATATTGAGTGGTGTTTTTACAATTCTTCTGATTTTGTTGTTCTTCTCTAGTGTTCACACATATTGTTTGTTGGACAGTTATGTTTCTGAAACCGATAGAAGGCATGCCCTTCCACAGCAGGCACAGCGACATATAGTGGCAGGGATTGCTTCTGCTTTGGGTGGATTAAGTGCACCATATGAAAAGGCTTCTCATGTACATGAAAGGCCGGTTGTGAATTGGCTGTGGGCTACTGGTTGCCACCCATTTGGACCATTCTCAAATTCTTCTCAAATCAGTCAGATGCTTCTGGATGTTGCACTGGTAAGGTGGTTTACTTGTTTATCTTGTTGAAAATGCGACACTGATATCATGTAACAAGACTTTGATATTGGGGAGGGGGGTTATGAACCCAGCATTTAGGCTGGGGAATATGCACTTTACCAACTGAGCTACAAGCTCAAGTGCAGGTAACATGACCTATGACACTACTGATATGTGCACTCACTGTAATCAACATGGGAACTTCTGGTTATTCACTTCTAAAGTTTATGACAAGGAAGATGTTTTTTCTCAAGTAGATTCTGGTGGGTATTGATTTCTGAAATTATACTTCAAATTCTCTTCCTGGCAGAGAAACACAATATATGCACGTGTAGATTCTGCGCTGAGGAAAATTCGGGATACATCAGAGGTGATTGATTTCATCTTCTTACTTTCTGCTCTATCTGGTTCAAAAGATTTGATTCTTACTTACAATTTTATGCAGACTGTCCAATCTTTTGCTGCTGAATATTTGAAAACCCCCCTAGGAGAACCTGTGAAGGGAAAGAAGAATAAAACTACTACCGAGCTATGGTTGGAGAAGTTTTACAAGAAAACAACAAACTTGCCTGAACCTTTCCCACATGAATTGGTTGAACGTTTGGAGAAATACTTGGATGTAAGTCACCCTTAATCTTGTTAACTGCTGAATTTATTTGACCTTTTAGGGTTTTAATGCATTGCTCTTTCATTGGTACATATAATAGAGCTTGGAAGAACAACTTGTTGACCTGTCTTCCCTGTTATATGACCATCGATTACAAGATGCACATATGAATAGTTCAGATATCTTCCAGAGTGCAATGTTTACCCAGCAGTAAGTTAACGCCACATTAGAGTTTTCCTAACTCAGATTTTCCTTTTCATTCAGTGTTATATATCATGAAGAATTCATTCTAGAGTAGGTAATGCACAACTGATGATTTTCATCTCTATGTCCGGAGTGCAGGTATGTTGATCATGTTTTGGTGGGTGAGAGGGAGAAAATGAGATGCTGCGACATTGAGTACAAGTATCCAGTGCAATCTTCCCAAACATTTGTCTATGGGGGAATCCTTCTTGCCGGCTTTTTGGTATATTTTGTGGTCATTTTCTTTTCTTCTCCCCCGGGACGTTGATACTTATAAAAGTCCAAATACACATACTTGGCACCTGCAACCACAGCAAATTTTGAAGGCCGAGTTACTCCTGTATGCCTCAGAGAAAAAAGTATACCATGGATATGTCTTGGGGAAAGAACATAGGAATTTTATTCCTGCTGTATACTCTCAACAGAAACTGTATCTTCGCTGTTCTTGTTTACTTGGAATCAGAAAACTGGGGTTATAGATCAACGGTAAGAGAAGGAACATCTGTTTAGTGTTTGACAAGGTAGGCTCTAAACCAAATTAGTGGATTAGATGAGTTTACTTATAGTAAAAATGAGGAGATGCAGTTAACATGAGACACGACAGGGAAGACAAGGTTGGGATAATCCCTACCCCCCAAACTAGCATGTTTTATACCAAATTTATAGCTTACTGGGGTGCCATTTGGGATTGGCTTAGACTGTACCTTTTTTCTCCTTGCCCTTATTTATGGAATTTTTCTGAATTTGTTAAATTTTAGTAATTGATTTTTAAAAGCTCGTGCGTAATAATTACTGAAATTTTCAGTGCTAAAAATGGTAATATAATTCCAAAAAAAATCTAATAATAATTTCAATAAAATAGATAAATAATCTCATTCTATTAATATTCTATTTTTTTGGGGAGCTAATTCTCATTTGTCCTCTTAGATAAACATTAATATATGTTTGTTTCTTATATCCTTATCTCGCACCTATTTCTCTCGAGAAAAGTATCAAGATGTGTAAAATGACACTATATAAAATTATTTAAATGCCTTCAATAAAAATATAAAGACGCATAAAATGTTAAGGCATGATTGTTTGTGAAATTATCTAAAATACTTTATGAAAGATTTTTCATTGCTATTTATAATACCTGATTTTCTTGATTTCAGGTAGAGGAGTATCTGCATAATTTTATTTACCTGTATATAATCGTGTCACCAGGTTCAATATTTTTTCACTATATCTGAGGGGAAATACTGATATCTAAAAGTTTCTTGGTGATTTCTTTAATTTAGAGTAAATACAAAGAAGAATTTTTTACATTTTTCTACCCGTTAGTGCTCTATATATATAATTTTTTTGTTTTTGTTTTGATTTACACTTTTTTCACGAAGACAAAAAAAATCCATATATGTACGGGAAATTGGATACTTCTATCCATACCAGACTTAATATTCAAAATCCACTTCAATTACAAAAGGATGCATATATTATTTTCATTTTGGTGTACGATATGTAATGAAAAAAAGAGTTGAAATATAACCGAGTGATTTCTGGTTATAACATTTTCATCTATATATAACTCTTCATTCTCAGAAAATCTCAGTTCCATTTTCAATTATTTCCATGGGCTGGGGAAAAACTATAAAAAAGAAGAAGATACAAACGCTAGAATATATCAGACATAGCTTTCTAGGCTGCATTGTCCATCAAAAGCAGCAGTTAAATAAACTGCTCAGAGCCCAGTGCATACTCATCATCTATAACACAACACAACACAACACAACACAAATAAATCCAAAACAAAATCCAGAAATTTAAAAGAAAAGGGATCCTCAGCTTTCATGCTTATAACTTTCATCAAACTAAGATGATCAGGTCTCAAAGATTCCATGCCATCATCGGAACCCCATAATTCTTTTTTTTTTTTAAAAAAGTAGAATCCAGAAAACACCCAGAAGAGAAAAACTGATGAAGGAATGGATTTGGCAGGATGTTATTCACTGCGCCCAGGGTAAGAGAACTAAAAAGGCGAAGTGACTCAACTTTCCTGAGCATAATCTAAGCCTCTCTGTTTAAATATGATGAGGAATACCTCCGAATCAGATCGAAGGGAACCCATCAAGAGGCTGCTTCGAAAATCAAATAAATCAATGTCAGATGGAAGAAACACAGAACGGTAGAAAATTTGGTTATCGCACAGAACAGAAGATGAGGAGAGTGCCGCTGGTATATATATATTTATATAGATTGGGGGATTGGGGGATTAGGGTTTTGTTGTGGAGAGGCTCGAGACTGAGGTTGTAAATTATCCAAAAAACATGCCTTTCAGGTTTTGTAACCCAATTAAGTATTGGGTTGAGTTGAAATCACTACACTAGTGCTTAGAAACAGACCAGAAATATCTGTCTGCTCAATTAAGTAATGGGCTGAAAGTTGAAACTACTACTACATTACTACTAGTCCTTAAACAGAAAAGATTAGTCTGTCGGCCCAAAGTAATATATACGCTCTTTCTTTGTGGGCCTTCTAAGTTCTTAAAGCATAAATTATAATTGAGTTTTTTTAATATCTCTCTATTGTGAATTTTTCCTATTGGTGGATGCTTCACTTTCACATTCATCTTCTTTTATGTTGTAACTCCTCACCATTAAGGGGTTATTCATGATTCCACTAAAAGCCATTTAAGAGTTCATTAAGGTGTTATTTATTCTCTTATTTAATCATATTCAATGGATAATGTAACCCTCATACGTACCTTAACCTATATATAAACCTATAAGTCTGTATAATTTGTACATGGAAAAGTACATGATGAAAAAATAAATTCACTTTTGTTTGTTATTTTGTTACTTTTTCTTTTATTTTATAATACGTTATCAGCACAATTGTCTTCACCATTCAATTTGTGACAAGCACTTAAGGTAAACTTTTGTTTTCTAATTTCAATTTGATTTCAAAATTTCATGAATTTTTGCAGCCACAATATCAAACTTCACTAAACTTGAATTTTCCACCCTTAATATAATAGGCTCAAATTATTTACCATGGATACTTGATGCTAAAATTCATTTAGCTACAAATAATCTTGATAAAACAATTGTTGAAGGAAATCGAGCATCCTTACAAGATGGCACTAAAGCGTTCATATTCCTTCGCCATAATCTCCATTAGAGATTGAAGGCTGAATATTTGACAATTTAAGATCCATTTGTATTATGGTAGAATTTGAAAGAAAGATATGATCACAAAAAATCGGTGATACTGTCAAAAGCTCATTATGAATGGCTGGATTTGCGATTGTAAGATCTTAAATCTATTAGTGAGTACAACTCTATAATATTTCGCATTTTATCTCAATTAAAATTATGTAGAGAAAAATTGCTGATAGAGACATGCATCGAATTTGCTCTTTCAACATTAATATCGAGATCGTGGCTTTAAAACATATTCAAAATTGATATTATGTCTTCTTGTTGCAGAACAAAATAATGAACTTTTGATGAAAAATCATCAATTACGACGTACTGGTTCAACTCCATTGCTTGAGGCAAATGTAGCCTCATATAATAATAATGGGTGTAATCATGGTAATCGTTGTGGTCGTAATTGTGGCAATAACCGTGGTAGAGGACATGCTTATGGTTGAAATAATACTTGACATCACAGTGATTTTAACCTCAAATATGAATTTGTTGAATAAAATAATGTAAGGGGTAGAAATTTACAAAAGAACCTTGCAAAAGACCCTAAAAGTTTTTGTTACTGATGTGGAGCAAAAGAACATTGGGAATGTACTTGTTGCATTGATAGGCATTTAGTTGATCTTTATCAAGTCTCACTTAATAAAAAGGGAAAAAGAAAAGATCTAGAAATGAATTCATTGAGCATAACAATATGGATCTTAAAACACACCTTGATATTGCAGACTTTTTTAAGGGTGTTGAAAACTTTAATGGTGTTGGTGATATTTAACCAAGAGTTTGACTTATTATATCCTTTTAAATAATTTGCCATAAGTGGTTATTTCCCTTTTTCTATATGTAATCTTCTTTTTATATTCAATAAAAGAATAAATCATTTCAGAATATGTATATTGAATATTTGTCACTTCTATTTCGCTTGTCTTTATTTAAGACCAAATTGACTTGAATGATGTTAAGATCAATGATAGAGATCTGTGTCTTGTTGACAGTGGCACAGCACATACCATTTTGAGAAATAAGAATTATTTTTTTCAATTAAAGTTAGTTGAGGTTAATGTTCATGCAATATCTAATATGACAAAGTTGATTGAAAACTCTGGAAAACCTTGAATTTTATTACCTGGAGGAACAAAATTATTAATACATGATGCTCTATATTCTAGTAGATCAAATCGAAATCTACTAAGTTTTAAGGATATATGTCGTAATGGTTTTCATAATGAAAACATAGATGAAAATGAAATAGAATTCCTCCATGTAACAACTTTGCAGTTGGAAAAGAGAAAATATTGGAGAAAATGTTAACATTCTCTTTTGGATTGTGTTATACATATATATATATTTAACAGAATCCAATGCTGTGACTAATAAGAAAAGAATTAATCCAGATGCTTTTATCCTTTTGCATAATTCACTTGGTCATCTATGTGCTATTATGATGCAGAGAATTATAGAAAGCTCACATGGCCACCCATTAAAGAACTTGAAAGTTCTATTATCAAATGATTTTTCATGTGTTGCTTGCTTCCCTAATAATTAATTACCAAGCCTTTTGCAACAAAAATAAAAAATGAATCTCCTTCATTTTTGGAATGAATTCAAGGAGATATTTGTGGGTCTATAAATCCACCATCTAGACCATTTCAATATTTTATGGTGTTAATAAATGCTTTAATAAGATGGTCACATGTTTGCCTATTATCTACACAGAGTGTTGCATTTGCAAGGCTTTTTACACAAATAATAAAATTGAGGGCACAATTGTCTGATTATACATTAAAAAGTATATGACTTAATAATGTAGGAGAATTTATATCTTTAATCATTTAATGATTATTGTATATCAATTGGGATTATTGTTGAGCATCAAGTTCCTCATATATATACACAAAATGGCATAGCTAAACTTCTTAATAAGTGTTTACAATTGATTGCAAGATCGTTGCTTATGAGATCAAAGTTATCCTGTTCTACTGGGGATCATGCTATATTGCATGCTACAATATTAATTCAATTAAGGTCAACTGCTTATTATAAGCATTCACCATTACGACTTGTTTCTAGGATTTAACCAAGTATATTCCATTTAGAGATTTTTGGTTGTGCTGTATATGTTTTTATTACTTTTACATAATGCACTAAAATGGGTCCCCAAAGAAGGCTGGGAATTTATGTTGGTTTTGAATCATCATTTATAATTAAATATCTTAAACTAATGATTGGTGATCTTTTCACAACAATATTTGTTGATTGTTATTTTGATGAAAACTTGTTCCTAGCATCAAGGGGAGAGGAACAAAAGTTGAAAAAATAGGAATTAATTTAGGATGCATTATATATATCTCATTTAGACCCTTGAAAAGGTCAAAATGAACTAGAAGTTCATAAAATTATTTATTTGTAAATGATTGCAAATCAATTATCTGATGCATTCATTGGTGCAAAGAAAGTAACTAGTTCACATATCCCAGCCTTAAACGCTCCTGCTCGAATTGATATTTTTGTTGAAAAAGGTGCCAAAACAGTAGCAAATGAATCTACTATATGCTAAAAGTGTGATAGACTTGTCGGTTCCAAAGATAAAAATCCAAAAATGAAGAGAAAGCAAACACAAAATGCTAACTTTACTAAAATTGTAAAGACTTAAGAGTTCTCTAAACAACAGCCAAAAAATGCATCTAAAGAAATAATCCCAAAAAAGGTTCAAGTATTTGAAAACAATGAAGATGCAAAAATTATAGATAATGATGAAATCTCAATAAATTATATTTCTACTGGGATAAAGTGGAATCGCAATAATGTTGTCATTGACGATGTTTTTGCATTTGTAATAGCAAATGATATAGTCAATGAAAATGGGGATCTTGAACTGAAATCCATTGCAGAATGTTGATAAAGAAGTGATTGGCCAAAATGGAAAGATGCAATTTAGGCAGAATTGAAATTATTAGAAAAACGCCAAGTTTTTGGACAAATTGTTCAAACATCCAATCAATGTTTTAAGAGCCGGCCCAGTGATTGACCCATTTTGGTCACTGGGTCTAGTTCAATCGATTTAATCAATCGGTTCAACTGGTCCAACTAAAAAAATTACTTTTAATTTAAAGGATGTTCTGCAACTAAAATCATAGAGAAAAGCACTCGTTAATTCATGTAAGACAGACAAAGGAATCGAGTTTGACTAATTTAAATCTAGTATCATCATTTTTCAGCATTAGTAGCTAAGATAAAGGTAATACTAAGCTTAATTAAAAAGCTAAAAAGGTAAAAAAGCATTACTCACATTTAAAAGCTAGAAAATGCTAATCCATAGAAATTTAAAATTTTAAAAATCATTTCAGCAAGCGAAACGAAGCAATAAACTCCACAAATGCGATACTACCCATAGTGGTGAACTTCCTCTCCAATCGTTCGATAATGGGAGCAACAGCTCTAATCTGAGCACAGAGATTGATTGGAGACCCCCAATCAATGCCGTGACTCCATCGCGAAATAGAACAGTGGAGAGAGAAAATGACTGTGGAGAAGCTGAAAGATTGGTGGTTGATTAAAGAAGAAGGTGAAGGCGAAGTGAGAGTACTCCTAAAAGAGGAAGAGAAAAGCCTTGCTCTGAGGAGGCCGTTCTATACATGACGACGACAGTTGAGATGATTGGGACCACGATGCATGCACACATAAAGGCGTGACGAAAGGAGCAAGAAGAATTGGATTTTGCTTTGCTTGCTCAGGCGACGGTCATGAGGAACGACGAAAAGAGGCATATGGACTATGGACCAATGTTTTAAAAACCGAATTAGACCGATCGATTGAACCGATCGAACCGATACCCGATATAATAAACGGCTCGAGTTAAGGTTTAGAATCGATAAAGCGATTGAACTGCTCAAAACCGATAAAACCATTTGGACTGATACAAACCGTTAAATCAGGTGGTTTAAATCTTTTGGAAAATTTCCTATAAAGTTGTCACCTGCCGGCTTCGAACACAAGACTTATAAGGCATTTTCA